CCGGACACCACAGTGGAAGAACAGAGCTGTCCAAAAGTTGTCCTCTGGCCTGCTGCCAGTTAGAACCCTCTAGGTGGGCCTGAGAAGCTGCACCCATGGAATCACAACCACACGGCTGCCTCAACAAGACCTGACAGTGGCAATCCCAGTTGACATGCCACAAAGCCCCACCCCGAGATGAAGAAGCACAGGCGATTAATGGCTGCCGGGGGCAGGAGAACCTGTCTTCTCCAGGGACAGGGAGTCCCCTGGTTGATTGTTCAGTACTAAGTGGTCAGCCTAAAGACGCACATAGGAGCAGCACTGAATGCTCTCACTGAGCAGCAAATACACAGACGTAAAATTAATAATCAAAGAAGAGGTCACGAACTTGAGAGGGAGTGGGGGTGCAGGGGGAGAGGTGGCAATGGTGGAAACACAGTGCTCGTTCATAAAATTCTCAAAAAAAAACCCTTAAAAATTTATATTAAAAATGAAAGTTAGCTGGATGTGGTGGCGCATGCCTTTAACCCCAACACTCAGGAGGCAGGGGCAGAGTCTGTCAGGGTTACACAGTGAAATCTTGTCTCAACAAAAGAAGAAAGGTTGTCATCTGACTTTTAGACGCACATGCATTCCCCCCACCCGCACACATCATACACTAGCGATGATAATAATAATAATAATTAATAATAATAATAATTTAAAAATAAAAGCAAAAGGTGCGATAGTGGAGTGAGGAAGAGGAAATTCCTGGGCCGGTCTCAAAGGGTGACTGCAGAGAGTATGGGAAGGGGAGATGTCCCAGCAGAGTCCCAGACAGCGAATTTTGATAAACACAAGAAAAGCTCAGCGAGTCTCCCCTGCCTTCCTAGGCTCCTTCTCAGGTCTCTAACATTTTCACACCGCAAGAAGTTTGATTGGACATTTGCCCCAAGTTGGTGACTGTGTCGTTTCTAAGAACAGACAGGAAGCACTCCGGAGGAGCCTGGCCGAGAATTTGTCACATTCGCTCAGGATTCAATTACCTAGACAGAGACCAAGCCGCCTTCAATTTCCTTTGGGAATTGGGGAGGCAGCAGGTGAGAGCAAGTAGCCACAGATACAGCAGCCAGAGCTCCGTGCCCCCCCCCGCCCCCCCCCCCCCCCCCCCCCCCCCCCCCCCCCCCCCCCCCCCCCCCCCCCCCCCCCCCCCCCCCCCCCCCCCCCCCACTGAAGGCAAAGAGCCCCGTTCCTTCCTAGTCTTTAATTCCAAGATGTGATATTTCCTGGCAGGGCTCCTCTGCCAACTAGCGAAGGCGCAGACCCAGGGTGACCGGAGGCAATTTCCTGGAATGTGATTACCATGTCCTTAGCCCGGGATGCAAAGCTGCCATCAGCCACACTGTCACTGAGATCATGAACCCCGCTAAGGTTCCCACAAAGTTCTGCCACAGGCGTTTTCCTGGGCCCGGGACTTCCGTGTTCTTGCCCCCTCTCCGCCCCCAACTTCCAGCTCCTGCAGTTAAAATGGTTCGTTCTTCTACAGTCTGCGGGACAAGACGGCACACGACCGTCTACTACACACGGTACAACCCTTCAATCACATGTTCCCTCAACAAACGGCCGCCGGGCACAAGTGCTGGAGACACGTGGACAAGAGAGGCCCTCAGTGGGGGGACAGACAGTGAATGTGACAACCAAGAAAGACCATGGATGGACACATGACAGAATGGGCAGAGGAGAGCGTGATGAAGAAAACAAATTGGTGGTTCCACACTGCCTCTGGGGACAAGAGGACCAGCTTCCATGGATTCTTGTCACCCGTCACCTGGGTCACAGGCCCCAACAGGGACACCCCCAGCTGCGCGTGTGTGAGCAACAGGAAAACACACAAGCAAGCTAGGCCCACAGGTGTGCAGCAATCAAGGACAAGGCAGACCCTGGGGAAGGGAACAGGGAAGAAGGAAGGGACAAAGAGAACCAGCATGCCCGCTTGTCCCCTGCCACCGGTGATGTCACCTGGGATGGCAGAGGAGAAGACAACAGAGAAGGGAAGGCAACCTCATCAGGCAGCGCTGGCTGAGGAAGAGCCGAGTGGTGGCCTAGAGAGGCTCATTCTCCCAGCCCTGGGACCAGAGGTCTGAGACAAGGTGTTGGTTGTTTTCTTCTCTGTGTCCCCACATGGACGTCCCTCTGAGTGCAGCTGTCTCCTTAGCTAGGGTTTTTGTTGTTGTTGTTGTTGTTTTGTTTGTTTGTTTGTTTGTTTGTTTATGAGATGTGGTATCCCCTGTAGCTAGGCTGTCCTTGAACTCAGTCTCCCCCCCCCCCCTCGCCTGAGCAGTTTAAGTGCTGGGATTGATGGGTGTGCAGCATCTCGCCTCATGGCTAGTTTCTTCTCACAAGGACACCAGTTGGAACTTGAGAGATGGCTCAGCCGTTAGGAGAGCTGGCTGTTCTTCAAGAGGCCCTGAGTTCAATTCCTAGCCACCACATGGTGGCTCAAAACCATCTGTAATGAGATCTGGTGCCCTTTTCAGGCCTGCCGGCAAACAGAAAGGCAGAACACTATGTATACAGAGTGAATAAATATTTTTCTTTTTTTAAATAAATAAATAAATAAATAAATAGGACACCAGTCATACTGGAGTAGGGCCAAGCTCCATAACCTCGTTTCATATTAATCACTTCTTTTTAAAATGTGTCTCTAAACACAGTCACATTCTAAGGCCTGAGGGTTAAAATTTGTCTAACTAACTAACTGGGCCGCACTGTTGCTATGATGAAACACCATGACCAACAGTAACCTGAGAGAAAACGACTTATTTCGCTTATATAGCCCAATCATAATCCATTATCAAAAGCAGGCAGGACAGGAACTCAAGCGGGGCAGGAACCTGATGCAGAGGCCATGGAGGGGGCTGTGCTTGCCCCTCATGACTTGCTCCGCCTGCTTTCTATTTTTCTTTTTCTTTTTGAGACAGGGTCTCTCTACATAATCCTAGCTGTCCTGGAATTTACTGTGTAGACCAGGTTGGCCTCAAACTCACAGAGATCTGCCTGCCTCTGCCTCCCGAGTTCTGGGATTAAAGGCATGCGCTACCACCACCTGGCTTCAGCCTGCTTCTTATAGAATTCAGGACTACCAGCCCAGGAGTGGTCCCATTCACAATAGGCTGGGCCCTCTCATACTGCTCACTAATTTAGAAATTGCTCTACACCTCGGGCGATGGTGGCACACGCCTTTAATCCCAGCATTTAGGAGGCAGAGGCAAGTGATTCTTCATGAGTTCAAGGCCAGCCTGCTCTACAAGAGTTAGTTCCAGGACAGCTAGATCTGTTACACAGGCAAACCCTGTGTTGAAAAAGAGAAAGAAAGAGAAAGAGAGAGGGAGGGAGAGAGGGAGGGAGGGAAGGAAGGAGGGAGGGAGGGGAGGAAGTGTCCTATAGCAGTGGTGTTCAAGCTTCCTAATGCTGTGACCCTTTAATACAGTTCCTTATGTTGGAGGAACCCACAACCATAAAATTCTGTTTGTTACTACTTCATAACTAATTTGCTACTGTTACGAATCGTAATGTAAGTATTTTTGGAGATAGAGGTTTGCCAGAGGGGCTACCACCCACAGGGTGAGACTTGCTGTCCTAGAGGCCTGCCCACGCTCTGATCTTAGAGGGGCACTTTCTCAGTTGAGGTTCCCTCCTCTCAGACGATTCCAGACAGTGTCAAGTTGACATAAAACCTATCCAGCGCTGATGTCAGTGTATGAATGTGAGGTTAGGAAGCAGGTTCTGTGCCCCACGGTCTCACCTTAGGTCTCCATGACGCAGTGACTCTACTAAGCAAAGAGATTTCTCTGCACAGCCACCAGGTACTGATCTGCCAACTGCTGGGTGGCAGATGTGTCATGGCCTCTTCTTACCAATGTGGAAGAGTCAGAGAAAGGCTGAGTGACCCTTGAGTGAAGTATGCGGCTGAGGGTGTTGGCACACATGAGGAAGGAAGGACTAAAAATGTTCCAGTGGGTACCAGCTGGCCCGGGAGACCCTCAGCATCCTACACAGGCATTCCACCCTGTCCACCAACTAACCCAGCCAAGCTGAAACCTGGCCTGCCACAGCAGTTCCCTGCTGCTTCCAGCAACTCCTCTCAGAAACAGAAGCTCCTCTGGGTTCCCTGGTGGCTCAGTCTTGATGAATGCCACATGGCCAAGTCCAAAGGTCCATGCCATCCTCATCATTTAGGCTCATCATCCACTCAAAACACCTCCTCAGGCTGGGGACGCGGCTCTGCGGGTAACACGCTTGCTTCGTGAAACATGGGAACCTGAGTTCAAGCCCCAGAACACAAAAAGCAAAATGTGTTCATGTGCACACCTGTACCCCAGCATTCTTTTAGGAACAAGAAGGAAGGTGCAGGCAAGAGAAGCCCCAGAAGCTAGCGAGTCATCTAGCCTGGAGCAGGCTGAGGGAAGCAAGAGACCCTGCTCTTGCCTCATACACTGGGGAAGGAGGAAGGACATGTGCAGCTGTCTTCTGACCTCCACATGTGCACATGGCCCACACATGCCCCCATTCTCATGTGCACGCCCATACAAAAAATATAATTCAAATAAAACTTAAAAAGTACTTCCTACTCCCACGTGACATTCCTCGGGGTCCCTTCCCATATGTCGATCTCACCAGACTTCTTTGCTAGACCCCCTCATCTTGACCAGGCCTAGCATCACCGCTGAAATCTTATTGTTCAGCCAGCACCTCTTACTTGACCTAACTCTGCCTTTGGAAAGCCCAAGAGCCCAGCGCCTACACCAAGGTCACTCCTGGGATCCCCGATCTCAGAGGTCATGGGAGCTTTCATTATATCTCATCAGAAACAGCAGTGGCCACACAACCAGGCAAAGACTGTGCTGACTGACGTCCTCTTCAGCCTTGAATACTCTTCCCATTGTCCTTTTCTCCATCCAAACCACTTAACATAAGAGGCTTCCAAGCTGCTTTTTCAAGTACCAACTGGAGATATTCAAATGAGAGGCTATAACAACCACTCCACAGTACAAAGACAGCAGAGCTTGGACAAGCCTTGAGCCTCACGTTATGCGGCCTAGAGAAGCAACATGGCGGCTTCAGGTCAGTGCTGCATCTACCAGGTAAAATGAAGGGGCAACCAAAACCACGTGCCCAAGAGGTCAATAACATCTGCTCTCAAAGATGGACCAGGGCAGGCATCAGAGCTGTTGACAGCCAGCCACGGTCAGTGTAGATGCAAAGTCAGAGCCGTATTGTTTAAACAAAATTACTGATTTATTTATTTATTGTGGGAGTCTTTGTCTGTAGGCATGCATGCCACAGCACGCATGTGGAGGTCAAAGGACAGCTTTGGGGATTAGTCCTCTCCTTCCACCATGTAGGTCTCAGGAATCAAAGGACATCAGCTCAACGACACATGTCCTTACCCAAGGATCTCAGCAACTCTCCGGCTTCATTCCCGAGCCACAGAACCTTATCCTAAGACAGGGATTCTTAACCAAACTCCCATGTTCACTCTTGACCATTTGGTATTCAGCCCAATGAGGAGTGTGCAACCCCTCTCCAGGGAATGGTTGGGCCCATGGTGCTAAACACCACTTCTGAGCAGCCGGATTCTGTCTAACTCTGCAGCCAGAGAACTCTGGCTCCAGCATGAGGCTCCAGACAGGTAGATGCCCCAAATCCTCACTTAGGAGGTCCCCCAATTCTTCACTCATTCACTAGTTGCTCAGTCCATACCTCTGGCCTCCACCCTCTCTCCAAAACATCTGTTCACATCTGCATTCCAAACCCTAGCCAGAGCTCTTTCAGAAGTAGGCTCCACACAGCCCGTCCTGAGCCACACCCCGTCCTAACTCCAGACCCTCCTCCCCACCCACTCTGCACCCAGAAGCCTGAGGGAACTTTGTAAAAATCTTACTAAGGGCATGGTATGCACGTGCCTGTTCAAAACTCCCAGTGGCCCTTGTGACGTGGAAGGAAAGCCTTTGCTTACCAGGGCTGGCCCTGCCTATCTTCCCAGCCTCACCCCAGATCCCACCACCCTCTCTCCTTACTTCACAACCCTGCCTCAAGTTCTGTGATCTGCTCAACACAGCAGGCTCTGCCTGGCCACAGAGCCTCCACCTCTGAGGGTGTATCTGGAACTCTGCTGGGCTGTGAGGTCCCCAGAGAGGCCCCCATGGCCACCCAGCCACTCAGCACCCCATAATCTCACCATTCCCTCCTTTACTGGCCATCACCTTGGCTGAGGATCAGACCTTCTCCATCTGTAGCCTGGCACTGTACACCTCCTGCAATGTGAAGCAGTGGGCTCTGAGTCAGCCCCAGTGAAAAGGTTTATGCCTACTTAGTAACACTGAGGAAAGAGCAATCAGGGCAGGAGTGACGACTCATCGCTTAAAAGCACTGGCTGCTCTTCTAGAAGACCTGGGTCAGTTCCCAGCACCCACGCGGCTGCTCACAATCACCCATAAACTTCAGTTCCAGGAGATCTGATGCCCTCTTCTGGCCTCCACAAGCATTGCAGGCACATAGTGCACAGACACACAAACTCTGATACACATAAAATCAAATTAAATAACTCTTTAAAAGAGAAAAATAAAAGCGTGATCAGATGAATCTACATGGGTCCATCGTCTATATGACAAGATGTCCAAACCCTTCAAAGACGTCATAAGAGGCAGAGGAGTAAAAGGGGAGGAGGGATGCTGGAAGAAGTCAGGAAAGAACAGGGATAGCATAAAATGCCCTGGAAGAAAAGGTTATTTGGAGACACTGGGTCACTGGGACCGTCCTTGGGCTGCTGTGAGAACCCGCTGTGATGAGGAAAGACCTGTGCGATCAGGACCTACGCCCAAGGTACCTGACAAACAGCGGAAAGAGAGGAGCCGGTGCAAACCTGACAGCCCATACCTCACCACGTCCACAGACACCAAGACTCAGCCAGAGAGGACAGCATAGCCTACAAGACACGCTCACAACAGCCCCAAGCACAACATCCCCAGGTAAGAGCTGGTCCCAAGGCTGTGTCATTCACGATTTTCTCTTTCAGAGAAAGGCCTTTGTTATGTAGGCCAGGCTAGCCTTAAACTAGTAGTTCTCCTGCCTTAGCCCCCCTAGTGCTAGGATGACAGGCATGAGTCACCACCCCAGACTGAGGCATCATGAATCTCATGGCATTATCATCCCCCACCACTGACTTTATCCTTCTCTGTTCTCCTGGCCACTCTACCCCAGTGTGTGGTAAGACCACCCACGCTGGCCGTATAATACGGCATCTGTGTGGCCTTTATACGCTCCAGACCCACGGCATCTGTCACTGTCTGCTCAGACAGACTGCACACTCCCTAAGGGCAGAGTAGAGAGATGTCTGCCTCAGGAATCACTGGCCTAGAACTTACCATTCAGCAAGGCTCAAGAATCTTCGATGGAGAGGCTGCCCACCTGTCCATCTTTCCTTCCATCACTCTATCTTGAGACACATTCAATCATCCCCAGTCACAACTTGGGGACAGTAGAGCCTGGAAGCATGAGTCAGGACAATGACATGTTCCCTCACACAGAGTTGTTGGAGACCCACCCTCTGTCATGTCATCCTGACAATGCTCCTAACTGGATGGAACAAAGGTGGCCAGAGAGATGAGATGAGGGACATGGTTCCTCTCTGAATCCTGTTTCCTTGGTCCATGGCATGAGCATCCACTAAAACCTGCTGCAGCCCCATGGCTGGGTACATACCGGCCAGCAGAGAAACCACAAAGACAGGATGGCAAAGAAACCACAGCTAGGGCCACCCAGGAGGTATAAACCAAGCTTTGGGCTGTTTCCAGGGCAAGGAGGATGGTGCCACGCGGTGGGGTCCTGGCGCTCACCCAGAAGCTTCTGAAGCACCTGGCCATCGTAGAGGTCTTCCTCCAGCTGTTTCACAATGATGCGCTCCTCTGCCAGCACATCGTTGATCCAGTCCAGGAGCACCTGGGGGAGGAGAGAGGCGTGTCAGAGCGGCTGGAGAAAGCAGAGCCACAGCAGGCTCAGACGGGCAGCTGCCCAAGCATACAAGGGCTACCAGGCACCTGCCTGGTTACAATGGAGGCCAACAGGTATCTCTTGGTCCATGATCAGAGCAGGAGTGGAGAGCCAGACCCATGCATGGAGCTAGGACTTCCTAACAGTCCCCAATAGAGCCCTGACAGGACCAGGAAGGCTGGGATCCTGCAGGGACCATCCGTAATGGGTGACACATATCTCCCAGCAGAAGGGCTCATGGCTCCACTTGGGCACTGGGTACTAAATGAGCAAGTGCTGGGAAGAGAGGAAAAGGTGGGGGCATGAAGCATCAACCCTCCTCCTAGCCTGCACTTCAGCAGTGCTGAGTTCGAGTCCTAGGCCTTCTCCTCATGACTCTGGCCCTCTCCATCTCCTGATCCTGAGCCCCATCAATGGGATTCCACCGTAGGTAAACTCCTCCCTCACACCCACCCCTCCACACCCCCACACCCCTACACACACACACACACACACACACACACACACACACACACCCCGCTTCTCTCAGCATGGTGTTTGAAGGCCATCCCTTTATAGCTCCTCTCTCTCCCCTACTTCCCCCTGAGCTCCTTACCACTGCAAGACACAAATGTATGTACATCTTATTTGTCTGCCCCATTGCTGGACATTTGAACACTGCCACTTTGTGCCCATCACGCTGCTGGAAACATTCACGGCCAAGTTTTTTGTTCCTATTTTCCAGACCCATATTCCCCAGACAGCTTTTCTTAACAGGTTTTTCTACTCAACGCATTGGGTGGACACACCGTGGAAGCAATCTACCTGCAGGGCTAATTGTCTCTGGAATAGAGGGATTCTGGGAGACAGTGCTCACACACCATCCCACTCAGAATAAAACAGATACCTGCCCGGGCTGCAGCCATGACACTCAGACTGTGACTTTCCCATGCCAGCAAAATGAATTAAGTTATCTAATTGGACCCCTGAGGCCCTGGGAGGTAGAGATCTGTGGCCACTCTCAGAAGGATCAAAGTGAACAAATCCAAACGCACAGTGTCTTGTCACTTTCTGAACAAAAAACAGTGACGGAGAAATTGGTCACAAAGCCAAGTCCCCTTAAATCCTGACCAGCTTCCAAGTGACCCCAGGAGACTGAGTCAGGATCTCAGAACTTAAGAGCTGCACGTGGCTAAAATGAAGAATCACAAAGCCTTGCAGCTCTGTGGACGTGTCAAAGAGCCTTCTGAGGGGCAGGGGGAGAGATGGCACCCTCTCCAGCTCCCTGGTTGATTGGGCTCCAGTCAGGCCTGTGTTCTCTGGCCGCTGGGCTATCCCCTCTGGGCAATGAAAACTATGAGGCAGGGCCTGATTGGAGGAAAGAGGTCACCGGGAGCATCTCCTAGGTGCCCGCTTGTCCTCTGTCCGAGGGTCTAAGGTTTGTTCTCACACCAGGGTCTACAAATCACAGCAAGGATTTTCCTCCGTGCAGAAAACAGCACAATCTCGACTTCACGAGGAATGAGAACACAGCAGTGTATTGAGCTTGCTGCGATTGCTGTGCCGGCTGGACTTGTGCCAACTGGACACAGCCAGAGTCACCTGGGAAGAGGGACCTCAACTGAGAAAATGCCTTCACTAGCCTGGCCTGTGGGCAAGCCTGTGGTACAGTTTCTTGATTGATAATTGTTGTGGAAGGACCCGATTTGGGTTGTGCCACCCCGGGGGCAGGTGGTTCTGGGCGTAATAAGAGAGCATGCTGAACGCGACAGTGAGCAGCGCTCTCCATGGGTTCCACTTCCGTTCCTGCCTCCAGGTTCCTGCTTTGAGTTCCTGCCCTGGCTTCCCTGGACAATAACTACAACCTTTAAATGTCGTTCCTGCCCAGGGTGCATTTGGTCAGGGTGTTCATTATAGCAACAGAAACCCCAAAACAACGAACGGATAAGGATAAGTATTCTCTGCCGGTCATCAAAAAAGGGAGGGGAAGTTTGTGCTTGTCCTGTGGTCCCACCTCCAACTGTAAAGGCCACAGCTGCTGAGCCTTCACTGTAGGGTCTCCCTTGGATAAGCACACGAGTGAGTGTCCATAGCAGGTGCCACGCGGGGCCGTGACAAGGAAGAGAGGAGGTGCAGTGCAGTCCCTGCCCACAAGGAAGGTTACCTGTCATGGGTGTTAGCTGGGGATAATGCAGGCATGGAAGGTGTATATAGTGGACACAAAGCCAGCCCCACCCCTGTCTGCCAGAGCTTTGAGGAAGAGTTGGCCCCTCTACCTTGAGAGCCAACATAAGAAAGTTAGCTAGGATCGGCCACCATCCCCACACCTCTATCATGGTGTCTCTATCCCTGGTCACTCTCCTGCGTGCTTATAGGCTCTTGTCACCCTGCCCAAGTCAATGGTTGCTAGAACATGCCATACCGCAGGACCTTTGTACCTGCTGTTGGGCAGTTGGCCGTGACCTAGGCACCGATGCAGAGGTCTGATCAAATGCCACCTCCCCGACTGCCCTGCAGGAAACTGCTGAAGGGGAGGGGGAGGCTTCGAGGCACCCCCTGTCACCTGATCACATGTTCACTTAGCCCCAATCATGTTTTTTCCCAGGTACACCATGAGCTTGGCGAGTGAGCTGTTTTGCTCAGCTCTCATCCCCAGTGGCTAAGACAAGAGCAGACTCAAGGTCTCAAACAAACCAGAGAACTGCCTTGGGGGATTCACAGCTAGAAAAGACTCTGGGCCCTACAGGCCTCCTTTGCTTCCAGAAGCTTCTTTCCTCAAATGCAAATATTCCAGGAAATGCTTCTTCTATGAGAATATAAAACTTAAAGAAAAAAAACAAAACAAACAAAACCTCCACATCTAGATCTCTGGCCTACTCAGAGCCCGAAGGCAGGAAGAAAAAGCCAAAAGCTCAGAAATGAACTATGCACAACAGGCCAGGCTCTCAGGTCCAGGAAGCACAAACCCTCTCCAGTCTCACCCCCCCCCCCCACTCCGGTCAGGAGATGCAGTTGACTTGAGGACATCGCCTGTCACCCCATCATTCTGCTCCCAGTCATCCTTCTTCTGTTTTAAGATAGCATCAGCCATTATTTTTAGGGACTCGTTCATCTGCTGAGCCCCAAGTCCTGCGGGTGAATAAGGAGGGACATATATTAATTACATCCTTACACGGCACTCGATCACGGCTAGCTCTAGGAGCTCGCCCTAACCAGAATAAAAAATTACTTTCCCCTTGGTTCCTTCTGAATTATAATCAGGTCTGCAGTGTGTCTCCCCCAGAGCCATGACAGTTACATTTTAATCATTTCCAAACAGAGTCCTGGCTGTGTTGTCCCTGGGGATGGAGATGCACCTTCCTGAACTGGGTGGGAGTCAGTGGGGGCTGAGCACGGCAGAGCGCCTCTATATAACCCGGGCACGAGAGGAAAAAGAACCAGCTTCACGACAAGAGTAAGCCCTGCCCAGCAACTGAACGATAAGATGTGAAATCTGCCCTTGGAGGAAGATGCCCCCAGCTTGAGGTGCCTGGCTGCCCTGACCAGCGTGCTTAGGGAGGGCTGTGTGGGTTTGTTGGGTTTTAATTCCTAACTTGAACTTCCAAAATACATCATTCCAGCCGGGCGGTGGTGGCGCACGCCTTTAATCCCAGCACTCGGGAGGCAGAGGCAGGCAGATCTCTGTGAGTTCGAGACCAGCCTGGTCTACAAGAGCTAGTTCCAGGACAGGCTCCAAAACCACATAGAAAGCCTGTCTCGAAAAACAAAAACAAAATACATCATTCCAACACCGAGTCCCTTAGGATCATTGTCCATCAAAAGCAAACTGGAGGCTCACCAAATGCCCTCATTAGCAGTGACCTAGGTGTGACCAAGAGTGTGTGTTGCAGGGGAGATCGCACGCTCAGGCAACTGTGAGGGTTTCTGAGCTCTGTGCCAGGCCCTGGGAACGAGGATTGAATGGGACACTGAGCACAGAGGCCTCTCCCTAGAAGAAAAGCACGGGATCCTCTCTAACAGAAAGGTTAATGACACAAAGCGTCTCAGCCATAAGCTTCCAACACACTGGCCACCTACAGGGACTCTGGGTTGATTGCGGCAGAAACCAGAGGAAATGGCCACAGGAAGAAATGCCCCCAGCTTGAGGTGCCTGGCTGCCCTGACCAGCGTGCTTAGGGAGGGCTGTGTGTGTAGGGAGAGCTGAGGTTCCTGGGCCCACAGAATGCAGATCCAGTTCTAAGATGACACCCACTGGCCAGTGCACCCTCCCCACCAGACCTGGTCCCTCTCAGTGCCCATCATCAGATAACGAATGGCCTTGGGTCAAAGCACTTCACTTTCCTGAGCTGGGATTGGACCTTCACCTCTTAATGGTCCAATAAGCACAACAGATGCTCAAAATAGTTTTTAATGATCAACCTCATTCCCCTTGTCTGCTCAGCTAGAGCCGGGGACTTCAGACGAAAGGCAGAGGGTGGCTCACAACATTGTAAAGATGACAATCCCAAAGTAGTAGGGGACAGAGAAGGCCAATAAGACAACAGAGGAAAAACACAGAGGACAGAGGACAGAGAGGAAGAAACGAGGCCAGCTCAGCATCCTCAGAAACTCAGCCCTGGTCCCGAAGATGGGGAGAGGCTGTGAAGGAAAGACAACCACGATGACCATGCCCGGCAGGACAGGATGTCAGCCAGTCCAAGCCATCCTCTTACCTGCTCAGGCCAACATACTAGATAGGTTTTAAGTTTAAAAATACCTGCATCTAGGAAGGCAGGGGTATGGTTCAGCAAAACCCCACAAAACCTGTTTCTGGGCAACACCCCCACAGGGGACCATTAGAAGCGGGGGTCACTGATCTGCAGCACCAACGACATCCTGACACCGAGACACAGTGGCTTTCTGAGATTCTGGAACCATCTGCACAGAGGTATAATCACAAGCTTGCAGACCCTGCCCCTTCTCCCACAGCCCACTCCCTAGATCCTGATCCCAAGTGTGCCTCCCCCAAGTAACCATGTCTGTCACCAACTGTGACCTTAATTTAAGGACAATGGCTTCCAGTGCAGTGGTCCTCAACCTTCCTAAGGCTGCGACCCTTTAATACAGCTCCTCGTGTTGTGGTGACCCCAACCATAACATTATTTCAAGGCTACTTCATAACTGGAATTTTGCTACTGTTATGAACCACAGTGTAAATATCTAATATGCAGGATGTCTGATATGTAACCCCGTGAAAAGGTTGCTCAACCCCCAAAGGGGTTATGAACCACAGGTTGACAGCCGCTGTTCCAGTGGGTTCTGGTGTCCTTCTGGTGAATTATCAAGCCTAAGGTATGCTGGGACCCCTGAGATTGCCAGTGGGTCATGGAGGAAACTGTCTCCTCTAAACATACACCCAGAGGGTCCCTGCTCATCGCAGCGGCAATGAAGCCACACAGTATGTGGAGCCGAGGGATGGAGGGACGAGGCATGGGATGATAGCCAAGGGTCTGAACAGAGCAAACCCGAGGTGCCTGGCTCTGAGGTGATCCTGGGGACAAGCCAGGCACTGAGTCCAGTCCTAGCAGCCGCTGGGAAAAGCTGATCACCCCACACTCACGGCGCAAGTGCGATATTCAAGCCAGCTACTGCCAGGACAGAGAAAGGAAGCGTCCACAGTCCTCCAACACGAGCACGCTCCAACCAAACCACTGCTTCTCTCAAATCCCCGTACACCTGATCAAAAGGGCTGGTCCCCCAGAGCCACTGCACCCACCTCCACACTTGTCTGTCTCAGACCCCTTCCTTGCCCAACAACTTGACACTTTGTACACTCCACCACACAGCCACAACCATAGCTAACGAGCCCTCTAAGACCCCAGGACCACTCCCCTGTCCATGGTGTTTACCCTAGCTTTTGAAAGTGCTAGGTTAAGACCAGCCTGCTGTAATGGGAGATCTCAGGCTGAGTTGTCTCAGGTCTAGTCTCCACGGGAACAGCTGCAGGCCAATGGGATAGTGGTCACAACAGGGAGACTCAAGGACTCAGCCACTGCTGCAGACACACAGCCACCCTGCCTGGCCCACATGGACAGTCAGCAACAGTGGAGGAGATCTGCTTGCTGTGGCTGTTCTACAGACTTCCACAACTCCAATGGCTTCCCCTGGTTCCTCTCACATGCTGGAGGCAAGAAGCCAGAACCGGTGTAACTGAACTGAAGCCAAGTGTCCGGAGAAGTGAGCTGGCCCGCCTGGAGGCTCTTAGGACACTGCTTCCTGGCTCCTCCAGCTTCTAGAAGCTCCCACAGATCTCAGAACACAGGTTTTGCCCTTCCTCTAATCCAGTAGCGGGAGCCTGGCTTCCCCCTTCCTTGACACCTCCATGGCGGCCTAGGCCACTCAGCCCAGTTGCGATGGTTAATCTTTCATTTGATTGGTTGGCTGTTTTGTTTATTTGGTTCTGGTTTTTGTTTTGTTCTGTTTTTCAAGGCAAGGTTTCTCCATGTAGCCCTGGCTGTCCTGGAACTTGCTATGTAGACCAGACTGGCTTAAACTCCAAGATCCGCCTGCCTCTGCCACCCAAGTGCTGAGATTAAAGGTGTGTGCTACCACTGCCCAACGAGATGGTTTATCCTAATTGTCAACTTGACACAATCTACACTCAGCTGAGAGGAGCTGGTCTTGTATGTGGGTATGTCTGGGGGGGGGGCTGTCTTAATTAAGCTAACCGATGTGAGAGGACCAAGCCCATGGTGGGTGGCACCAACCCCTAGACCTACGGGGTCTCAATAGGATAAGAGCGGAGAAAGCCACTGAGTGCAACAGGCAAGTACGAAAGCGTGCAAACGTTCACTCTCTCTGCTCTTACTGCAGATGCGACTGGCTGCTCCAAGTTCCTGCCATCTTGACAGGCTGTGTTGGACTGTAACCCAGAACTGCAAGCTAGATAAACTCCTTCTCCCCTACAGAGTACGACACTGTCTCAAAAAAAAAATCACCCTCAGTGAGATAGTGGTGGCAGTGGTGGTGTGCCTTTAATCCCAGCACTTGGGAGGCAGAGGAAGGAGAATCTCTGAGTTCAAGGTCAGCCTGAGCTTCAGAGTGAGTTCCAAGACAGCCAGGGCTGCACAGGGAGACTGTGCCTCAAAATACCTAAATAAACAAACAAACAAACAAATAAATAAATCAGCCTCTTTGGGTGGCCATAATAGACATTTCCAGTTCATATTTCTAGAAGGCACAGAGGGCGAGCAGCCCTGATTCCCCTGATCGGCCCTTGTGAAAACTCAGTCGCAAGGGTCGGCATTGCACTCCTGGCTGGGGTAAAGACAGGAAAGCCTCCAGAGAGCCATCTATTTCAGGACACTAATAATCACACGCAGCATTTCAAAGAGCCTAGGTCACCCAAACCAAGTCTGGGTCTCCGAGGTAGGATGCTACCTGCCTGTCTCAGGTGGTGGTCTTCAGGAGTCTTCCTGGGGCTTAGATCTGAACAGTCAAAGTCTCAAGCTGCCCCTGGACAGGGTCAGGTACGTGCAAGAGAAGGGCAGGCGGTTGTCGCTAGGAGCCACTGAGCCACAGCCCTGCCCTCGTGTTACTGTGACCTTCGAGATCACAGCCTCTGCTCTCCCACCTAGCTGATAGTCACACATGCTCCCCGAGGGTTCTAGCTGCATTCTGTGGCTGTGTTAAAACCTTCTGACCAAAGCAGCTGAGGAAGGGAAAGGGTTTATTGGCTTACACTTCCAGGTCAATCCATCACTGGGGATTGACAGTGGAGGTCAAGGCAGACGTTCACACAGGAGCCTGAAGCCGAAAGCTTGGAGGAACACTACTTGCTGGGCCACTCACAGGCTTGTGCTTGGCTAGCTTCCTTATATAACCTGGGACTGCCTGCCAAGGGAATGGTGCCACCCGTAGTGGGCTGTGCCCCTCCTATATCAGTCAGCACATCAAGACTATCTCTCACAGACATGCCACAGGCCAAGTCTGATCCAAGCAAGGCCTCAACTGAGATTCCATTTAGCGCTAAGACACCAAGGGCTGTCTTCGGGTGAGGCCATGGTGGGGGAAGACAACAACCTGTTCCCCAAAACAGCTTGACCCATGAAGCTATAACAACCAGGCCTGTATGCAAGGTGTAGCGGTTCAACACAGACCCTGTGTAGCTCTTGTGAGCATGGTGCGACAGCCCCATAGAGGGCTAGGGCTGTTCTAGGGAGCACCTAGAGAACCTATGTTTCACTTCCTTCTTCTGCCCACACCCCACTCCTCGGACCCCTTTCTAATGTAGTCTTTCAGGAGCCTGGAGGCTCAGCTGCTCCTTGTGTCTACAGAAGTCGGGAGTCCCCCGAAGAAGGCCCAGAACCAACAGGGATGTTCCAATCACATCAGACTATATACATCACCTTGATCAGCTCCTTGAACTTGGGGTCCTCTCTGGAGGTGGGATCAATCATGGTGCGCTCCTCATTCTCCTCTGCCAAAGACAGAAAGGGCCAGAGTGAATGGAGGGGGTAGGATAGAGCACTGACAGAGACATCAGGGGGTGGAGAACTCCCTGCTTACTCACATGGGGCAGGAACTGGTGAAAAAGCAGAGACCCATCCTGTTCTCAGTGAGAACAGGTTGCCGGCCTTGCCAGCTACACACCAAGATCAGAAATAGATCATGCAGGACAGCAGGAGGAGATGAAGCCCGGCTCCAACTCCCCCGCCTTGGACTCCAAAGGCTCCTTCAGCAAGTCTAAACCACGCTGGCACGGGGAGAGAAATGGTGGCATCTGCCGTGGCCTGGGACGTGCCCTTCCAGAATCAGAGGGTTATAGAGAGATTTACAAGCTAGATCGCTGTTCACTGGTCTATCAGAGGCTGTGTGGGGCCAGCGCCGTGGAAAATGTATGGGAACAGATGGGCGGGCAGCAATATACAAAACAATATCTACGGGGAAGCATTAAAAATAGCAAAAAGACGCGAAAGGATGACATTTACCCATCTCCCCTGTGAGTTTTCCCTCCATTTTCTGGCTTAGATCTGACAGACAGCAAGAGGCCAGTGGAGTTCATCAGGGGAGCGGGACAGGAAGGTGGGGAAGGAATGAAGACGTGGGAGCCAGAAGTGAAAGGACCAGGCCCTAAATGCCTGGGTGCTGCCGACCCACTGAACTCACAGAGGGGAGCTGGGGGCGGGGAATCCAGCTTCCCAGACAGAGAATAGCCCAAGGTACTGCTGCAACAATCAGCTGCAGCAGTGGTAACAAGCATGCCCTTCATCAGGGAGAGACATCACAGACCAGTGGTCTCGGATACCAGGCCATTTCTGGGTCACAAGTTGGCCTTCACCTGCTTCCTCCCTGAGACCCTGATGGTCATATAGAACCTGGATAGACAGGGATCTCCCTCTGAATTGGGGTTTGGAAATAAGCAGTGTCCACAGTGTCCAGGAAACGGCACTTTGTCTGCCACCTGTCATCGACCTGCAAGGAGTCAGGAGCCTCCCCATCCACAGTTCCCACACAGTCAGCCGCACGGCTCTTGAGGGCAGTCATGGAGATAAATGGCGTGTCTGAAATGTGTGCCCAGTTTCTGAATTTCTTCATGCGTTGAAACATTGGGGCCCACTCATCCCAGGGAGACTGTCCTCAGGGGATGGCTGTCCCCTTGCCTCTTCCTCTAGAGACTCATGGGGGTTTCACACCCTGAGCTAACACTCTCTGCCTCACTTTCTCTCATCCCCTAGGCCAGCTATCAGCTAACTCCGTTCAGTGCCTTGTGCCTCGAGCTTACACCATCCAGTCCTCTACTCAATAAAGAAGCTGGCTCCTCCTCTCTCTTTCCACCCCTGCTTGCCCAGCCCTGCTGGGCCACCCCTTGGAACTGTGACCATAACAAGCCATGGTTCCAATGCCAGTCATCAACGCCTGGATGCCAATGAAATCCACACTTCCTGCTTCTCCCTAGAGATCTGGCTGAATGAGATGTGGGTTTTCACCTCCCACCCATACGTCGTCCGACACCAGGGATGGACAACAAAGGCTGTCAAGTGGCCACAGTACCTAGCTGGGTGTCTTCAGGGTGGATGTCCATTAAAGCCGGGGCCATTGGAGAATTGATGGCGCTCTTGCCTTCTTCTTGCAAGTCAGTCACTGTTGAGGTAAAGAGAGTCCCAGTCAGTATGCAGAGAGCCCAAGAGGAAAGTCCCGCGCTTCCAACACGTCACTTACATGCACATCCCTTCATGGTGGGTGGCCCAGGGAGGCCAAGAAAAGTCCTCCCAGCCCAGAACATCTGCCATTTTGATTGCCTCAAGCAGATTATTATTATTATTATTATTATTATCATTATTATTATCATTATTATTATTATTGCAGTATACTGCCTATAGGCCAGAAGAGGGCACCAGATCTCATTATAAATGGTTGTGAGCCACCACGTGGTTGTTGGGAATTGAACTCAGGACCTCTGGAAGAGCAGTCAGTGCTCTTAACCGCTGAGCTATCTCTCCAGCCCTCAAGCAGTTCTTAATTCCTTCCAAGCCTGGCCAGTCTGTCCACATTGGAATATGTGACTGGGACATGGAAGCTTCTGGTTGCTTCTAGTGACTTCCAGACCTGACCGAGGCTGGTGCAATAGACAGCGCTCAGAACCCCAGCAAGGGCAGAGAACATAAATGGAACTGCCCTTTTGTTTCCGGCAGAGCTGTCTCTGGGGTTGTACACTCGAGGTGTGAACGGGCCTGCTTGCACACACGGGCGATCAGAATTTAAAGTGTGCCGCCTCCTTCGGGACGGAAGTCTGATGGAGGTGCAGTGAACTCATACATTCTGTGCCGCCCTCGTATCTATTTTTAAACAGGCCAGAATCTCGGGCCAGAAACCGGCTCAGCCTGGACATACGCCTCCTTCCTGCTGGGCACAACCCTTCTCTAGATCTCTGCCCTGGGAACCGTTAACCTCCAAGAGGGCATCTGCATGCAGCCAGCCTAGATGGCCCCTCTCACCTCACTTCCACGTGGACTAAGCCGAGAGTCGTGACAACCAGCCCTCACTTGCAGTTACTCGGGCCTGCCGGGAAACCTGCTTGGACAATGTCCTGAACCCAGCAAGGCATGGCCCACGGCCCTCGTTCTCCCCACACGCTCCACTAACTCTGCAGGTGCACACATGTGCTCCAGGTGGGAAGTCACTAAATCTCCATCACCATCTCATCTCTCCTGGCCCCTGGAGGGACATGCTTCATCTCTACAGAAGATAACAGGATGGGGATCGAGGCCAGTAGGAAAAGCAACAGACTCTAAGGAAGCGAGCGAGCTTCCACACTGACAATGTGTGGGCCCAGAAACCGCAAGCTGTGCATAAGCTTGCATGCATGTAGGCTGGAGGTGGGGATAGTTACAGGGTTCAGACACTGCACACCCTAGTCCTGGGACACCCACCACACAGGTCACAGTCCCAGGATGGAGGGGAAGGGGACAGATGTAAAGCTTGACTTTTTCCTGTCTACAGAAAGCTCTACCACGTCTGGAGCGCTAGAAGCAGAAATGGTGGCTTCCATACCACTGAATCTCAGAGTCCAGACTTCAGTCCCAAAATCCAGAGGGGACAGAGCCAGGTCCAGGCCTACACCTGCAGTTTTTTTACAGCCCTGAGTGGGGAGCACCAATCACTTACTGATCACACATCCCGTCATGGGGCATGGGGGGGGGGGATCTCCAGTGACAGGAGTCCCGCCCCTCTGTGCTTCCTCCTGGGAACTTCTACAGTGATACACGCCTCTAAACTCTGCCCGGAATACCAGTCACTTCAAAGCTTTAATAACATTTTACATGTTGGCCACCTGGCACCCGCAACAGCAGATGATGGGGACAACACGATACAAGTGGCTCCAACCTTGCTGGCTGGGAGACCCCAAGCCAGTCTTGTTAATCCCTTTGATCCTGCAGCCTCAGGTGGCATTTCCTGTTTGTTCTCTTAGGTCCCCAGGCAGGCTAAAGAATACAAGTCCCCAGCTTAGACATACAGCGGGCTCTTGAAACATGGCTGTGGATCCAGCTCTGGGGACAAGCCACCCTCTGCCTCCACAAGGACAGACACTAGCTCTAACATTAGCAAAGATGCCGAGGTCCAGCTTTTTGAAAAAGGAGGCCCTCTAGTAAACTCGCAAACTCATGTTCAAGGCCACGTCATTCATAACAGCCAAAAGGTGGAAACAGCACAGATGTTCTTAGATTCAAAAGGAGAGAGAGAGGAGGAGGAGGAGGAGGAGAAAGAAGGGGGAGGAGGAGGAGGAGGAGGAGGAGGAGGAGGAGGAGGGGGGGGG